TCTCTTTCTCTCACTCTTAGTTTTTGCTGGTTTCTTATACATGTTTACAATAATATCCAAACAACTGTTTGTAGCAATTTGCTTAAGCACAGCAGTCATAGTGAGGCTGACACAGGATTGGGCAGGGTTGTGTTCTGTTGCACACAGAGCAGCTCTGAGTCAGAACTGACTTGAAGGAGCCAAAACAACAACCACCAAAAATGGACATATGTATAACAAAAAAAGGAGATATTTACCAATATATGCACAGTCCTTCACTTACATGTGGGACAAATCTTTGGGAAACTGTAATTTTGAGTCTTTTTATTCAGGTTTATAACTGAGAGGAATTTTTTACCAAATGCTTTGCAACATACTTAATGTCTAGTATCCTTCGAGTACCCAAGACATAATTCTTTAAATATGTCTTTGGTTTGCAGCTTGGTGAGGGAGAGAGTTCATTTGTCCATTGAAGGGAGGGCGTGCATCTTGTTCCCTTTTGTGTATCAGCAGCAACAGAGATGCTGGCTTATATTCTTAGTGCTGCTATAACAGAAATACCACATGTGGTGGCTTGAAAGAAGAGATGTTTTCTTACAACTCAGGAGACTTTCAGTTGAAATTCAGGATGCGGCTCTAAGGGGAAGTCTTCCATGTCTTTCTCACCTTCTGGCAGCTGCCAGCAATCCTGGTAGATGGCTTGTAGATCCAACTATCCGTGGACGGCCTTCTTCTCTCTGTGTATCACTGTGCCTCTTTAGCTTTTTTTTTTTTTAAGAGTTATAACTGAATCTTTTTTTAAGCCTTATGTGCCCACTTAGCGTTTTCCACCAACTCGGGGAGCAGAAACTTTCACAGGCTTCACAATTTTTTGTTTAGGTGCTGCTTTTGTGGGAGCCTTAGTAGCAGCCATTGCAGTCTTTTCAGATGCTTGTTTAGCCTTTTTTGCTTCCTTGGCAGCCCTGATAGCCTGTTCTCATTGAGCCTTTCTAACTTCAGGCTTTTGAGGCCATTATATCAGCTAGAGAGGCACCAGTGATGGCCCTTTGGAATTTGACTGCTTGGCAGGTTCTTTTCTTTTTAATTTCTTCCTACTGGCCCTTTTTGTGCTTTCTTCTGTAGAGGACAGTCCAATTTATCTGCCGTGGATTCCTTTTGGAAAGGAAAGCCGACTCGCATTTTGCATTAAAAAACTGGAACACCTTCCCGTCGGTCCTAGGGTAGCGCCTCCCTTGCCCGGGGTAGATCTTGTACCCGCTGAAACTGCACAGCTCGACCTTCATGGCTGCGGCTTCAGGGGAACTGGGCGCCTCTTTAGCTTTTTATAACTTAGAAGTGATTAGGTTTAGAATCTACTTTACTTAGGTCTGACCTTAATACCATATCCAAAAAGCCCTGTTTCCAAACAGGATCACATTCCTAGGTACAGGAGTTAGGATTCCAACATGGATTCTGGGGGTACACATTTTAATCCGGAACACATGGAGTCACCCGAGAGTTCCTTTCTTTCTTCTGCCTCAGGCATTGCTCCTGCTCTTGTCATTCTGACTCTGCGGGTCTGGGTGAGGCCTTGGAATCTGTACTTTTTCATCTCACCCCACTTCCACCTGTGATTCTGTTGTGGGGGATCTTGAAGAACAGGATTCCAAGCCTTAGAGTAGCAGACAAAGCTAATGTCAATCAGCCTCTCATCTAAGGAGAGTAGAGTCACTGAGCCCTCGGAAATGCACAGGCAGAGCCTCTGGTTATAAACCGAGAGAAGAATACAATAATAAACACACCTGCAAAGAAATTGTTAATCTATTGCACAGGCTCGCCAGGCTGACCTACCTTTTTATTCCCAGTTAACACATCTCTATTCCCTCAACCCTTGGAGTTCTGTCGTAGCTGGTTGAGAGCCCGCTCCCGGAGGCCCCAGCTGTCTCTGGGTCTAGCAAACAGGAGGACAGGGTAGGGACACATTTTTCATCCTTTTGCAGTCTCTGGAGAGCTTCCAGGTGGCAATATTGTTAGCTGCCATCAAGGTGGTTCTGACTCATGACAACCTTACGTGTAACTGAACAAAGCATTGTCTGGTCCTGTGCCATCGCTGCTATTGGACAGGCCCAAGCCCATTGTTGCAGCTATTGTGTTAATCCATGTCCTTTCACTTTCGCCAACCCTCTCTGTAGCAAACACATAACAAACACAAAGCCCTTTTCTAGCAAGCAGTCACTCCTGATGTCGTGGCCAAAGTGAACAAGACAAAGTTTTGTCGTCTTCATTTCAAAGAGCTGCTCTGACTAGATGTCTCCTGGGATGTGTTCATGCTTCTGGATCCAAAATATATCAAATATTCTTCACTAACATCACAGTTCAAATGCATCATGAGGTAAAGCCTTCATGCAAAGGAGTGACTCTAAGGGGGGAGGGGTATCTTCCAGGCACTGCAGCTGGACCTTGTGTAGGAGCAGAGGTGGACTGTGTGTATGTCCCACACCTTGTCAGTGGTCTCTCTGGAGAGAAACTAAAGGGCTTAGACCTCACTCAGCACCACAGCCTCACACGATGCCCTCAATGTTTCCCTAACATCATGTGCCGCCACTTGAGGCTGGAGAGGTGCGCGGCACCTGGCCGGAGAGATCCTTTAGTTTGGGAGCTTCAGCCATTGCTCTGAAGGGGACAGGAAGTCACGGAAGGATTTGGAGCATGTAGCAAATGTATCAGAGGGCACGTCTCTGGGTGAGGAGGCTGCTGGACCATTTCATCCATCCACCAGCCTTTGTGCATCCATGAACAGGAAAGTCTCTGCCCTCAGGAAGCCCACAGCCCTGAGGCTCGGCAATAAGCAGGAGGCCAGTCATGTGCGAAGTGGACCAGCGAGTACACCCTTTTCTCATGCTCCTCTCTCTTGGAAGAAGTACAGCCAGACTTCTCCTTACAAGGAGGGTGAAACCGTGTTTCACATACTTTGAGCATATTCTCAGAGGAAGGGCACTGTGCTTAGAAAAGTGGAATGTCAATGGAAAAAAGAGGAAGACATTCAAGCAGCTGGCTTGACCCAGGGGCTGCAATAATGAAATCAAACACAGCAATGCTAGTGAGGCCGATATAGGACCAGGCAGTGCTTGGTTCTGTCGCTGTGACCTGGAGCTGACTTGATGGCACCCACCATTAAAAATTCTCTCTTCCAGGAAACACACGTTTAGTTTACAACTAACAAATTGAAAGGCTAAAAAAAGAATATACCCACAGGACCCTCCCTCTGTCCACGCTCTACTTCTTAGAAGCCAATAACCTGGGGCAGTTTGCTTCCCCACTTCAAGCCACATCTATAAAATGGGGATTAAAAAGAACACCTGCCTCACAGGCCTGTGGAGAAATTCCAAGGAGCCAAAAGATGAGGCCGTGGCTGGAAGGTGGGAAATGGTCCGTAATGCAGGAGTTCCTGGCAGAAGGTACGAGGAGGTGAACTCTTCCATGAGTTCTCTCGGTGTGTAGGTGGTTCCAAGCCCAGTCACATTAGAGAAATGGCTGATTTTACTCCAGGCTGTAGTGTGTGGTCGCTGCCTAGTGTCTTCTGCCCTTCTGGCTGATGTGACGGAGGCAGCACTTCCAAACACAGAGAAAGCCCTGTGCTCTTGCATGCTGCAACCTCCTCTCCATAACACCTACATCATCATACAGACAAACCAGATCATCCCTCACTTCCACTGAAAACTCGGAAGTGGCTCCGGCCAGCTTGGGATCAAACCCCACTTCTTCCCTGCAGTGGCTGCAGCTTGTCGTGGCCTGACTTCTGTGCATCTCTGACTTTAGCGTATCCCTCCTGCCTCTGCTCATGAAAATCATTCTGTTCCTTGGTTGGTACTTGCTCCCTCCCAGCACCTCACCTGCATCCATTCTGTTCCCTCTTGCTGAAATGCTCCCTATGTTTCCCCTCATCGGTTAGCATCCCTCAGACTTCCAGGAAATCTTGCCTTTGCCCCTCTTCCCTTCTTTCTTCATATGAGTTCATGGTGGTGGTGGTTGTTAGGTGCCATTGAGTCAACATAAGAACAACAAATCCGAACCCCTCCCTCTTCTGTTCCACTCTCACCATCTCTGAGACACCTGAATCCATTGTTACAGTCACTGTGTCTCATGGAATCCCTTCACGTTCCCTCTGTGCCCTCTTCCATTAGATGGTGTTAATGGTTATTGAGTTGATCTCAACTCATGGAGACCCCATGTGTGCAGAGCAAAACTGCTGCAGAGGATCTCCAAGCAAGGCTGTGTGGCCTTCTAGAAGCTGGTCATCAGTCTTTTATGAAAAAGTAGCAAATGGACATGAGGACATGTCCCTTTGTGAGGCCAACACCTTTGGGGATGTTTGAATCACAAACCTTTTGGCTAGTAGTTGAATACCTAAGTGTGCCACTTAGAGCCTCCACTTTTAAGAAGTAAGTGTGCATCTTCTAAGCTTGTTTCATTCTTGCCCTCTTCCCTTATCTTTAAGTCCATGCAGGTAGTGACCAGCACTATCAATTCCTCCATTTATTGTTGGCATCTAGCACAAGGCCAGCATTTAGCAGGAACTCAGAGTATGCTGGCTGAAGGAATAAATAGACAGAGGGATAAGGCTAGAAGTCTTTAGGGAAGCAGAAACTACTCAGCACACAAAACTGAGTCAAATCGAGTGAAGGATCTGGAGGGATGAGATGAGAGTAGGTGAGACCAGCATCACCTCTCCGGGCTAGAAATTTCCATAAGGACTCATTTGGCATGCTGCAGACAAAGGAATGTCTACCCTACTTGGAGTCAGTGAGGCTTGATCCATCTCAGCAGTCCACACACAACTTGCTGTGTGGCCTTGGCAAGTCCCTTGGCCTCTCTGGGCCCCAGTTCTTTCATTGGAGAAATTATTTGATCTGCCCACTCTGTGTTGTTGGAGGGCAATAATAAATTGCTTATTCTTTCTTTCTCCTTTTGACAAAAGCATGCAATTTAGCCTACCAAAAGGATACACTTCTCCCAGGATTTTTATCTCTCTTTAAATTAGCTACGGCCTTTAAACCACATTAACACGGTATATTTTAGAGGCGACTAGGAAGGGAAAGGAAGGCATTTCTTTTTGAATTTGGTTTAGTGGGAAATGATGTTTGAGTTAAGAAATTCTTGTTTGGGATCCAATCCCATTAACTGTGAAGAAGGCATGATGGGAACTCCAGCGACTCAAGGCCAAGTCTGTGGCGCCGCCAAGGGTGGGGGTGTGGGGGAAGAGAGAGAGTAGGGGGCCTGCGTGTGTGGACTGTGCCAGATAACACTATCAGAGGAGTGACACCAACATGTTTTTTAATGTGCAGTACTTCAGCAAAAATTTATTATTTTTTTGAATAAAAAAATACTCCTTTAGTTATGACAACTTGCATGCATCAATATACCTACAAGACGAAAACTCTATGTCAATTTACTTCTTGATCTTTCTAATGTGCTCTGACCAGAGGAGTCATTATTGCCCAATTAGAAGAATGCTCCAAATCGTGTGATTTTGTCTACATATGCGACAAGCTCATGCTGTTGTTTTTGTTGTTGCTGATGTTTTTTTATAGCCCCTGATATTGTAAAATCTTCTAGTGTTTTAGCTACAATACTGTGGTAAGTAGTATTTGTGAATCTGTTAATAACTTTCTTTCAAAGGAAAAGAAGAAGAAATTTAAAAAAGCTTCTCAATTATTAAGAATGCTGCAAATAACAGTTTTATAATTCAATGTAGAAAGATTTGACAAATTGCCCTTATTTTTCATAGTCATATCACCTTAGTTATTGCAACATTTAATCAATTTACAACTGTTGTTGTTGTTAAATGCTGTTGAGTCATAGGCGACTCATAGCGACCCTATGAACGAAGGACCTGAACACTTGTATAACTTTCTTCATTTCTCCAAGTTCATCATGTATTATTCTATAATTAAAATGGTTCACTTAGTAAACAGTACTAAGGATTCTGTATGATCTGGTCTGGGAGAAGGTTCACGGTGGAGGTTGTGGAGGTGACACCATGGATCACCAAGAACCAGGTCATGCAGCCTGAGACGGAGAAAACTCCACACACAAAGACAAGAGGGATTGCCTTTCCCATTTAGGCAAGACTGTCAGGCACTGAGCTAGCCTGAGGGGGAGGGCTCCAGCTGGAGTCACTCAAAGCAGCCCTGAGTCCTGTGAAGGAGACTCCCAGGGATTGGCCTCTGAGGTGGGGCCTGGAATGTGCTCCTCTGTGCTCCTCCCATGCCAGGCACCCTCAGTTCTGCAGGGAGCATCTAGC